AGGAACATTTTACGTTTTTGCGTATTATTTCTGTAGGACTTTTATGTGAAAACTTATGATGATATGAACCTATATGTACCTAAACTTTACGAGAATCTGTGAAGAACATCTATAGCTCTGGCCCACGAGAAAAGGAACCAGTGTCCCGACCAAAACTCGTTCGAATTCTTGTAGGCCGACCACAAAACACTTCACTAGTGTTAWAATAATGCACCGTTCTCCGTCGGTTCACTGGTCACGAACGGTAATAGTCGCCTATGCACCACTCAGCTCGCGAAAATCTTGAGCTAGGGGGGGGGAGAGTATAATATTTTACTCTGATCGTACATAGGTGTTATTATTAATTACCTAGTGAAATATAGTAGGCGATGGAAATGTGTTCGTCCAAGCCAACATTTTATTGCCAATTAAGCCCCTATAATTATATACGCAATTTGGGRGAGAGGAGTGAAATTTAGAWTCAAAGCTTTGCAAATATTTTGTGACAATACCGACCTATCAATATAATATTATTCTGTAGTAAATAATATAGCATYTGTTATTTATTATTGCTATGGAAGTTTTAAAAATTAAAACTCTTAACATTATATTGCACTATAATAGCTATTATAGCCGGGCCCATGGGCCTGTTTTGAACTATACTAGTGACCAATKTATTTACTAGTAGGCGCATACAATTTTATGTTAAAATTTATTGAACGAATATCTAATATTTTATATAAATAAATGTATTATATCCGAGAGTATAGYCAAGTCGTCCAGGTTAATGATTGTACCAATAGACCAGCCCGCCGGCCAGTGGCCATCAAAAATCTTGCACGATATATAGTTATATGTCACATGTGCATGTGTAGAAAAGTAGAAATATTGTATAATAACGTTTGTAAAATGCTTTATTGAAAAAAATGTTTGTACGTACAGCCGCTACATTTATTTTATGTGTAACAAATAAAAACACGATTTAATTCYAGTACGTATTTTTAGAGGTATTTTTAGCGGTTTCTTTTTACAAAACTTTTCACWTTAAAAACGCGTACTTCCATATCTTAGAATAAATAGTTCAAATTAAGCTACAAATTAACTTATTGAATACAAATTGATCCAACTAACTCTGCAATGAAAATGTCACCTATATTATGTATAATTTTATATTTTTTTATATGTACGTCTATACAGTATTGKTGGAATGGTATGTTAGAAAGAGCAGCTGCCCATAGTCCCATACATCATTTAGGGGGCCCGTGCCTTTCTTGGGATTTAATGATGGGATAACAAACTTGTTTATATTAAAATTAAAATTTAATTTAAAAAATCAATTAATTTGTTCATTTTTATTCATTACTACTGAATAATCAATAACGTAAACATTTTAAATTCAAACACATATAAGAAAATACATATAGAAAAACTAGCGATGAATCGTCTATTCGATTKTTTWATATATTCATCATAAAACAATAAGCTATTTAAATTTCTAATTTAAAAACAATTTGAACATTTTTGCAATTTTGATGAATTTCAGAAAAGATGAAATTGTTTGATGTCAAAAACYCACACATCATTATAAATACAATACATTAGCCTATTACACATTCCCTACGCTCTCTTAACAGTACATAATAAATATTGAAGAGTTTACGTTTAAAATTATTCTGTTTAATTGTATGCGTAAAAATATGTTTTTAGTAAATAGCCAACAAAAATATTATAATATAGGTAACCATTGTATTTCCAATGGCATACCAACAACTTACCATCATTTTAATCCGTTCGATTTTCTACGCGGTCAAACACCTCTCGTGTAACATTAAATTACAAAATTATAGCATGATAATATTATATAATGGAATAATAACACTATTAGTGTAYTATTGTAGTATTTGTCGTGTGTTTTATAYATAGAAAACAATTAAGTGGGGGTAAACGGAGCGAGCAAAACAAAAAAAAAATGCAAAGAARAAAGTCAAAGCGTTTACGATATAAAAACGMCTTTCGTTACCCCGTTAACGAGGACGATCAATCGCACATCGGCAGATGCGGATCGTGGGTCGAGATGATTTTGACTAATGGCCGCGTCGTTGACACACGTCGAGCCCGCTTTTTACCCTCAACCTCCATACAGCCTTTAGAAATTCCCTTGAAGGGTCGAAACCACAGTTTTATGTATTCCCCACACACACTCACCAGTATTCATATAGAATGTCGGTGTGGGGAAGGTCGAGCAAATAACGATATAGTATCTGCGGATGAGTCGGAACAGCAGACTCTCATTGTTTCTGGTACGTGTGTGAGACGTGTTGAAGGTAGTAGACGTGGGAGAGGGAAGGGTTATATAATTTTATTCAGGTTAAAAATTTAATAATCAGTAACATTAAAATATGTTGTATAATGTTATGATTAGAGATGTATCCAACAGCAGTACCAAATATGAAAAAATAAATGTTTTACTGATCTAAAAAACTTAAAAACGATATAGGCATATACATATATTAGCATTTATTCGTAAGCGTATGTCTCTAAAATTATGTGTATGAATTTACAAGTGCTTACACGAGGTARATCTAATTAAAACCTAAAACTTTTATTACAAATAACAATGTTATATRAATAGTTTTAAAAATATATACACTTTTTCTTTTAGATCAAAAATGTAATAAAAATAACCTATAAATGTAAAAAATTATAATACATTATAATAAATGTCGCAAAAAAAAAAAAATCAAAATCAAAATCAAATGTATATAGTCTGAATCAATGAAGCACGAATCTGTAAATTTGTAATTTGTAGGTTAGCATTGTCTAAGATTAAAGGGAAAAAACTGCAAAAGTCATCAAAATCCTACAGCTATATATATMAATAGTTATTGAATCGCGAAACATTTTTTCTTCTGACATCATTACTCGTCACGATGATCATTAGTGGACATAGTCACCAGAAATTTCTGGATTTCYTTATACAGTATTATATATTTTTAGTATTTTTTTACGATAGCGTGTCTCAAATAACGTCTCCGAATCAAACGTTGGTAGTATGCAATTTTATTTTAAAAAGCAACCCATATTTCGTCATTGCCGCGACTAGTGACTGTTCCGTTTTGTCGAACGAATTAAAAAAATTACGTCACCATAGTCGTAATTCAAAAATCTTGTCAGCGGACATCAAAATCAGCAATATGCGTTTATTTTTTAAGTATAAAGGCCMATCGCCACACGAGCTGTTCTTTATCATCGACGGGGAAGTTGTATTTTTTGTCACYGTGGTTAGCGTAGATACTACTGTACTCAGCTTTTCTGCAGGATGGTTAGAGGCCCCCACTTTTGTATAAGCTGACATGYTGGTGAATAAACGATACAGGAACGGGTGGCAGTATTGTGATGAGCAGTTYCCACCCGTTTCTGATTTTTGAACAGGAAAAAAAGGTACTACTGTACTACAATTTATTGCTGCGTCGCGTATAATTAATTTAATATTTAAAATGTTGTAGTGAAATGGTTATAATAATATCATGTTGTAGTTAGACGATTATAATAATTCGGACGATATTAATAATAATAATAATTATAATGAATATTATCTTTCGACTGCTGTTGAATTGTTATCCTATATAGGAACGCTGCAGCGTGGTAGGACCGCCTTTGTCGGCGTGGTGCCACGCTATTTTAACTTTTTTTTTTAATCATAATATAGTGTATAGTATGGACCTTGATGATTTTTTTCCATTTTCTTTTTGCAGCATCATTATAGTGTCGCATATTATGTCATTGTACACGTCCATTGATCGCACAACCTTTTCCAGCGAAACAAAAACCAAACGCGTCCTTAACATGACTTTGAATTAATACGTTTCGTACCGACTTGAACCCTGTACACACACATACACATGGCYACGCGATATAAAGTTCGTTGATTCTAAAAACAACAATACGTGTTCATAAAGTATGTTTTAAAACGATGTACTTAATATGCAGTTCATTGGAAATGTATGCATTATATATATTGCTGGAATTCAGATGCCATAGCAATAATAAAATATAATAATTAGCGTTATCCTTGAAAGTCTACCAATATTTTTTTTCAAACGCAAAGACATTTCGATACATTGATATACATGTGATTAAATCTCTACATAAACGCTCTATAGTTTATTAAGTACAGCTGCAATACGATGACAACAGAAACGCATTTCCATTTCATTACAGTTAATATTGTACTCACTAAACACTAATCATTATAGTTATCATAATATGACGACATATTTTATTATATTGTATAATATCACAGTATGTAGTATGTACTATGTATAGCCTGTATGTACCTACCAATATTATAATATTATGATCTAAATTCGTGGTATCGTAATTGTTTTAAAACATATTCACTGTTTGATGACATTAATATTATATGTGATTAAAAGTCGAGAGAAATCATTGAAATCATGCACGTGCATGGTGTGCGATTATACCTAAAGTTTTTTTTCGTGATAAACCTTACCAGCTGTTAAGTTGTATGCTAGTATGTAGCCAATGGGGTTTTAAGGAAACAAACAGTACGATACGTTTGGTGTATCTTTAGGTCACACGTAAACACTTATCAGTTATCACTAATCACATTAGATTAAGATGTTAAATCTAAACACGCATATTTCTCCGGTCTAGTCCTGCCAGTTGTCCGTCTTTACTACCCTTCTCAAAATTCTCTATATAGGGCATCTGATAAAAAATTGAAAAATCAGCTTAAAAAAATAAGAAATTAGATAATAACATGGAAATAACTCATTGAAGAGACTTTTAGTAGAGGAACTTTACTTTTTTCATTTAATATGTTTAAAATTTGTTTATACAGTTAAATTGTTTTATCGCTGAAAAATACTAAAATACCGATACTTATAATATATGTAGATATACGGTAATCATGTGCCAGCGTCGTAGATATAGTTCTATTCTTTCGTTTTCAGAAACAAAAACGTTAATTATTATTTACTATGTTATATGTTGCACAGGTAATAATATTGTTTATGCTCCGTTCCCTGGAAAGTAATTGAAAATAAATCAAAAATGGATTCCGAAACGTTCAGAGAATGTGGGAAGATGGTCATCGACTACATTGCAGACTACTTAGACAACATCCGAGACAGGTATAGAAAAGACTAGGTACCTATTTTAGTCGTCGCAATTGCCACATTATTATAATATGTTATATCACGTGAAACAAAAAAAAAAAAAAATAAGAATCGTTTGATTAATTTATCGTCGGAGATAAAAGGGGAGGTGGAACATAATATATTATCTGGTGAATAGCCCTGAATAATGTATTACCTATAGGTATATAAGATATTATTTTAAACCTTATTGTCTACTTCAGTGGTCTTCAATCACTTTGGACTCATGACCCACTTTTTTAGGCTTACATTTTTTGTGAGCCACGTAAGCTTTGTAAAAAAGCTTAAATTGCCTTATGCTTTGCAATATTACTATTACGTTTTAGTAAGTAGAATATTTAATTATAACTAGATAGAATTCATATGAAAATATAAAATAAAATAAAAATATGACACAAAAGATTTAATGTGAACTTTTTCCTTGAGTGTTTTCACATAGGTAATAAATTCCACCTTGGATCAATTTGACTAAGCGCGATCCGTAAACCATCTTCAGTTTCAAGTCTATTTCTTTTAGACGTTTTAAAATGTTCCATAGTATAATAGGACTCTAACGATAACAATGTATATTAATTCTATAAGACTATAAATAACACAGTTTATTCGTAAATTCTTATCTCAATATCTTACTGCGTAGAATTATACCAGTGTAATATGAAACATTATACTTGATACCTATCCATTACGATTATAATATTTTTTATTTTTTTTTATTTACCTTAGGTATATAGCTTTATACATTTAATTTTTATTTTAAAAATACGATTTATCGCGACCCAATTTTAAAGCTTACGCGACCTAAAAATGGGTCTCGACYCACCGGTTGAATACCACTGGTCTACTTAAAGTTATATCTCGGAGATTTTAATAATCTCAAAGGGTTCGAAATAGTAATACATAATGTGTACACACCAGCTAGCTGATAAAATAATCACCGTAGTGTTACCTAAATTGTTTTTTATTTTAATTATAAAAAATACACTCGTTTCAGGCCCGTCTTGTCCACCGTCAAACCGGGATATCTTTATGAATTAGTGCCGCCCGAGGCTCCGATTAAAGGTGAAGATTGGAAGACGGTGTTGGCCGACGTGGAGAACATAATCATGCCTGGCATTACACACTGGCACTCACCGCAGTTTCATGCGTATTTCCCGACCGGARACTCTTATCCTGCCATCATCGGTGACATGCTGAGCAGCGGAATCGGATCTATAGGATTTTCTTGGGTACGGAGGCATATGCATGATAATTAAAACGCGTCGTTTTGAAAGCGGGAAAAGGCATTTCGATGTTATTTGAAAGAAATTGACTTCAGGAAAGTATAATACGGCTACAACGAATGGTTTCAGAAAATTTTTGAATCGTGCTCATTTTAGTGACCATTGATAGATACAAATTATACACGATTCCGAAAAAATTACAAATATATTACCTATTGAAACGTCCATGTGAATTAGATGTATGCATGCCTTTTGAAAACAAGACTTTTAAAAACATGATTTAAGTTACGAACATCAAACATGATTACACTGCACGTTTTTGGTCTTATGAATTTTCGTATTTTATGTTATGTTCTAGACTTATGGTTTATTTTCTTATGATTAGAAATATATTTTGAAATTATTTCAGATTTTGAAGTAAGTATTGAAAGTCATAATTGTCGTTTTTTTTTAGTAAGGTGCAGAATTATCAAATATCAAAAGTGAATTCATTTAGTAAAAATTTTTCTAAGAAAATAATACATCAAATTTAAATTATAGTATTATAATTTTAGTACTCATTATTATTGCATAAAGATAGGGTAAGATATTTCAAAAAAAAATTAATATATCAACTAGTCAACTTTGGTTTTCTTGACTTTTAGTTACTTTTAAATTATAATTTTCATAAATTATAGATTATAAGAGCAAAACTAAGTGTAAAGGTATAAAAAATCAATTGGAATCATAATATGTTATATGCATGTAATTTGCGGAATCGTGTTTGTGCATAAAATGGTTATTATTATTTTAATCTCTAATGTATAGAACTGTATCGTTTTATATATGGGCTATTATTAGGAAGGGTTAAACGAATTACCTTCAAGTTGTAGCCTGTAGGGCACTAGATATTTTTCATAACATTATAGTTGGTCGTTTTTTTTTTTAGAATTTACGGGTGTGCTTTATACAATATTCATCTACACAATTAATGTCGTCATGTGATTATCATAAAAATTTAAATCTAAAGCTGTTATATTATATTTCAAGCTTTTCGTAGTCCAAAATGATCATTGCATACTCATAGGTCATCATAATTATAATAATATAAATATACGTAATACATTGATAATGTAAATTATAATAATTATATTATATTTATACATATTCTCACGAGAATTTAATAATTTATTATTCTGGTAATAGCCACCTTTAATTAATTAGTATTCGTCGAATACTGAAGTTTGACTGTACATAGTTTTTTCATATAAAATGTATTATATATTTCATCATGTTTATTGTAAAAATTGTTTATTACCAAAATAGTAGGCAACTTCATTCCACCGCGCGTGGGACAAAACGTATACGTTCTTTATGATACATTATTAATTATGAATTATGAGGCATGTGTTCGTGAATTTTAATGTACCATTAATAATAGAATAGTTTAAGATATAGAGAACACTGCTGTTTCAGCCTTTAGTTTTCCGTAAAAATGACAAAGTTCAAGTAGTCTAAATTGTTTATAGCCACTATACCAACAGAAAAAAAAATCAAAAACAAGTCTTAAACTTTTCTCAGGGCGCCTTATGATACAATACAAATTATAACTTTTTGTCAACAAATAACTCTCTTATAATAAAATATACGTGTTACTCTGTATTTTTTCTATAATTTTAATCAAATATCAAGGACTTTTATTTTTTCTATAATTTTAATCAAATATCAAGGACTTTTATTTTTTCTATAATTTTAATCTGCAGCTAATTTACCTGAGATAAATGTAATTAGAATGTAATTATTAAAGTTATGTCAATTATATTTTAACAATAATGAACCATTGTAAAAATCTTTAAAGTATTTATCTGTGTATATTATATTACTCTTATTTTGTTTTAGTCTAAGATAATATTTTTTGTATAATATAAACAAAAATCATTACTCTTAAGTGATCAAATTTTTAATATATTTTTATCATTTCTATAATTTGGTAGATTGACAAGTTAGTTTACATAAATTACATTTTGTTTTTAATCTTCAAAAAGATAATACACAATGACCAACAATTTGAAAAAACCTAAACAAGTCCGAATAATTTTTGTTCAAATAATGACGTTACGAAAATTACTTTTTGTTTTGCGATATTAACCAAAGTTTGAATTGTAGTTGAAATTATGTGACGGGTGTAATTAATTCAAAAGTTTCAAAAAGTTAAAACGTCACTTTTGAACTTTCTGACAGAGTTCAAAGCTTTATGTACTAGTGCCATATTTCTGCTCAAGTACATAAAATAGGTTACTATAATCTCCGAATCCTACGATACAAAACAAGAATATTATATTATTGTCATTTAAAAATGTCTTTTGTTCCACAGATTACGAGTCCAGCGTGTACCGAACTCGAAGTGCAAGTTATGAATTGGTTTGGGAAAATCTTGGACTTGCCGAAAGAATTTTTGAACGAGTCCAAAGGGCCCGGTGGTGGCGTCCTTCAGGTATTTATATATATATAAATAATAATAATAATTACTTTTACTTCTATCGTATTTATTTTATTCCAAAAAAAAAAAAATGATCGTTTTTATCGACCATGCAATAAAATAAATAAAAATTGATAATATATACATATCGTTCACGCCTGCAGGGTAGTGCCAGCGAATCCACATTCGTGTGCCTGTTAGCAGCCAAAGACCGCACGACGAAACGAATCAAATCACTCCACCCGAATATGACCGACGGTGAAATCAAGGCAAAACTGGTAGCCTACACTTCCGGTAAGTTTTCGTCAGACACTCTACACATTATAAAGCGCGATAGATAATATTATATTATAATACGATTGTAGGACGATCGACGGGGGTTTTAATCGATTTCGCCGTTTTATTTWWAAAAAAAATTACTTSCTGTTGTTAATTGTTCGTTGCGATATTTATATTGATGAAGATTTTAGAATTAAATTTAAATGTTCTACGAATGGCGATTATCACAGAAGTTTTTTGTTCCTCATCATAAATTTTTAGTAAAAGTGTATGATAAAATACAAGGCTGTAGCCACTAGCCAGTAAACAATTCGCGGGTTGGGAGTGTATGTTTGTAAAAAAAATGTAGGGTGGGTTTGATCACTAAACCCATCCATGGTTACGGTCTTGCAACATACGAGTCAGCGGAATCGACATGTATTATTAAAAAGTTCGGCGGAGTCGATATAGCCGGCGCAATAAAGATAAAGATATTTTGGGCGGAATCGATACACGACCGATCGATTACGATTACTCTTTTTTATTTTAATAAAACTGTGCGTGTACTCGCCGCGTCCATATAAATATAGATCAGTCCAATTCGAGCGTGGAGAAAGCCGGTCTCTTGGGATCGATGCCAATGAGGATGCTCAAGGCGGACAAGAGCGGTCGGATGACCGGGTTCATACTATCCGAAGCCATAGCTGAAGATGTCTCCAAAGGGTTGATACCATGTTACGTGGTCGCCACGTTGGGAACCACTGGCATTTGCGCGTTTGACAATTTGGAGGAGCTCGGGCCCATCTGCAACGAAAACAACATTTGGCTGCACGTCGACGCCGCTTACGCAGGTACATGAGCTACTGCCGCTAGGTACCTATACCTTTTTTTTTGTGTTGGAACCACRRCGCTACAGGGGGGTAYTTCACCCGGTTGGGTCGTCCTTCCCATGCATCCGTATCCTTATATTTACATGACAAATACAACAGATTACAGCAATTAAACTTAACTAAGGCAGTAGCCTTTACATACACTGGAGGGCTCTACCCCTCCAACTTTCGCCGTTGGCRCACAATATATTTTGCTTAACTAATGTGTCTTTGCGATGYTCTTTGYRATGCSCTTTCTTCTTCCTCCTTCGTGGAGAGCACTTTGGTTATGTACTGCTTAACAAGGGTCCAGTTTTCCCGGCTCTCCAACATTTTTGAGACGACGGTGTCTGGCTCCAGATCCGCTCCAAGTGTCACACATATCTCCYTCCTTGTCTGCCACCACCTGTCGCAGACGAATAACGTGTGTTCGGCATCGTCTTCCTTTGCTCCGCAGTCCAGGTACCTATACCTACGACGATTTGAATGAGATTTTAAATAGCTATATAATTTTTCAAGTTGTAGATATGTAAAAGTGTAAAACTTTTAAAATAGATTTTTTTTCGTCATAACAATTATATTTTTAGTCTTTGATGTCTTTGCAATATTACTTAGTGACTTACATATTTTTAACCTTTGAATRTATTGTTGGATAAAAAATAAACTATTGATCAATCAATCGATAAAACTGATACTTTCCGGATTAACCAATTAATGTTTGTAGCTACTGCYTACTATAGTGGTCCGGGTTCGTGGGTCTTCACTGTTATAAAAATAGTATTATATGTCTTATCTATAAATACAAATTTCAATATTGTATCGTTGCCCGCCTTAAGATGTTTATCACTATCTCGTTCGCAGTGTTATATAAAATTCCAGATAAGCAAACGTATTTTTTATTTGGAAATTTGGTAGAATGATTTAAGGTATGTATAACTATTAACATTTTTCAATTTTATATAGTCTGTGATTATATTGGTATATTAAATATCTGAAAATATATTAAAATGTCTGAAAAATAAGCCAATTGACATATATATATATATATATATATTATATATATATTATGATGTATATTATTTATGTAACATGAAACTATATTGTGTTACTAATAAGTAATAGGATACATAATTATCGTTCCTATATTTTAAAGGCTGGTGTGCTGAATTCACTTTTTATAGAATTGTGGGCGATAATATTGCATTGATGAAATGTTACATATTATTTCTTATTGTTCGGAAGAATGCATTTTTTTAATTTCATAATAATATTTGTATTAATTACTGTATTTTCTGGTGTGTGTCTTTCGTATAACATCATTATCAATAGGTGCCGCATTCGTGTTACCGGAATACAGATATCTGATGGCGGGAGTGCAATTTGCGGACTCGTTCGACGTCAATTTGCATAAGTGGCTCTTGGTGAACTTTGACTGTTCAGCCTTGTGGGTGAAGAACTCAACTTATTTAGTTGATGCGTTTAACGTGGACCGAGTTTACTTGAAKCACCGCTACCAGAGTCTGGATCCCCAAGTTCCGGATTACAGAGTAAGAACTATATGATTATATTTATATAAATGATTATATTAATATTTAATATATCAAAATGTTACCTATGCATTACCTATGAATATATCAAAATATTATTAGTTGCAGTTATTGTGTTTTATAAATTATTACGGTTGGTAAATAATATTGCACAGGAGTGCGACAAAAATAGCTTGTAGAAGGATCTTATTCGAGATGTAAAGGAAAATAAATATAAATTATAATATGTTATGTAATCACGATGGCGTGACCGYGTTTTATAACTCTGAATTGCATACTACAAGGGAATCTTTATAATAATGTTATGCTGCATGTTGTCTAAAATATAYGTTAGATAGTTCTGTAGGTATGTAATATATATTCGACTTAAACTAACAATTTGTTAGTAACCAACGCCTATTGGTCGTTTGTTTGAGTCATTTGTAACAAATCATTATTCTTACAATTTCATTACAAATAACAGTAASGCATATTTTTTATTTCCTTTAAAAGTATTTTTTATTAAATTATGTTAAATAATACATCTTAATTGCATGTAACATGCAAATGTATTCAATATTATAGAATTAAATTCTTACCTAATATATTAAACAGGAGAACACGTTTTTTAAACAATTTTTATTTAATTATTGAAAAAAGTTGTTCAACATATTATATTTTTTTTTATAAAGAAAAAATACATGTATTGTAAGGAGAAATTAAATAAATAATTTGTAATTTAACATTTTTTTCATTGTTCCCTCAGTTGTTTGTTTCAATTTTATCATTTGTATTATATACTTTGTTAAATTACCGTCATATRTCAACTCAGTCATTTTGATAATATAGCATTGGCAAATACCGTTGGGCCGAAGGTTCAGATCATTGAAAATGTGGTTCGTGCTAAGACTGTATGGCGTGGAGGGTCTACAGGCACACATCAAAAAGCAGGTTCAATTGGCTGACTTATTTGGGAAGTTCGTCAACCARGACCCAAGGTTCGAAGTCGTTACCGTCACCATGGGACTGGTTTGCTTTCGATTGAAGGTACAACATTAAAAAACGTTTAACACGAATTATTATTATATAAATATCGCCCGAGTAAAAGAATTTTTGTTTTTATTGAAACGTATATTCGATATAGATATAACAGCAAAAACTGTTTGGGCTTCTCAAACTTTATTCCTTAATCACGATACCTTTAATTTATTCAAATAAATGTCCAAATTCACTATTCAATATTATKTATTACACAAATCGAAATATAATATTATTTGAGAACATATTTAAAAAAAAAAAACGAAATTTGTATAAATGAAACAATAAAAGATCCAAAATATTTTGAAAATAAAAAATAAATCTGTCGTGTCTATAAAATGCTATTAAAAATATTAAGTGAAATTTGATACGGTTATTAATTTTAAAATCAAATCAATGTATCATATTATTGTTAGAAGTAGGTATTGAATAAAATCACGTAAATATTATTCACGTTTCAGTAATTTATTTTTAGTATTTTCAATTAAGTAATTTTCCAATTTTCACCTAGAAACTAATCCCTGCAAAAAGAAAGCTTAAATATTTTGTACTGCTCTTAAATGTGATATGGTAAAAAAAAAAAGAACATCGGTGTGAATCCATTACGTTCCGCTCGGAATCCAAAATTTCACTGCAGTTACAAAGCGTCTTTGCACTGATATGTCTTAACTTATAGCCATTGTCATCACCTGTTGCAGGGTGACAACGTCTTGACAAAAAACCTTCACGAGCGACTGATGGCGAGTGGACAAATATACCTGGTCACGGCCACCGTCCGGTCGAGGTTGGTCATACGGTTTGTGGTCTGTAGCCGACTGACGGAAGAAGTCGACGTGCAGTTCGCGTGGAACGAGATACGCGCGCAGGCTGACCGCGTGGAAGGTGAACGCGACATGGTGCCCACAAACATTTGCAACAGCCGTACAGGAGCGTGGCCTAAAGACAAGGCGGACTGCGAGGAACTCACCGCTGCCACTCCAATTGTAGTCAAGTCTCTGACCAAAGGATGAGTTTAGATTAGATATAATAATATATAGGTAGTTATTGTATTCATAATATTATATATTATACACTCATTGGTGTCGTTATTATTTAKGATTGAGACGTATGAGACGCATCGTTAACGTCATTTCGATTAAGTATCTATATTATGTACTGTATTTACGTAAAAATAAAAATATTCAAGACATTTTGTTCTGAATTTATTTGCTTATTCAATGGGTGTCAGCACTTAAAACATAAAATATTCTTAAACAATAAATATGTATCAATAAAAATATCAAAAGAAGAATGTTCGTGTCATACACGATAAGTCGATATAATTTTATAAATTATAATAATATATAAAGATTTGATTGTTAGATCGTTTTAACTGGTAATTGTTTGGTCTTTTATTTCCATACATTAAAAAAAAAAAAATGTTTAGATATTTATTTTTGTAATATTTTATGATGTCCTATGTATCCGTAACCAAGTAATATTAGATTATTGATTATCTATATGATTATACGTAATATTTTCATCATAAACAATATACATAATATAGAGTATAGACAGCAATTTACGTCTTATTGTTTACGGAAATCACGAACTGTTACAAATTTGATGTACCTACATAGGTACCTATGTGCTTGTTTGAATTTTGTCGAATATTAATATTAATACATTTACATTAGAAAACATTAATAATAAGTTATTTAGTAAATTATTCCAATAAAATTGAAATAATGTAATATTTTATGCAATATACTCATTTATACGCATTAATTTAAATTTATTATCATTGTATTCTATTGATTATGTATTATAAGAAATGAAAAACGTTAAGTATTGATTTTATAAGAATTTATATCTTACTTCGTACTTTGACTAAATTATATTATGGCGTAGTACTGCAGCGGTTCTAGCATATTATATGCACAAAATATATTGTAACAAATTTTAATTCTTTTAACTAAGTATTTAGTACCTAATATATTGAATATTGACACATCCTATAAATCCAATTTTTAAATTTTTAATATTATTTTTGTATACTAGTATACTTTTGTATCTTATCGATTGTTGTTTCATCCAATTATTTTCATCTTAATTAAAATGGCACGAAGACAATTAATATTGATCATGGACAACGCCATTGTTTTAAAAATTAATTTGCATTAGTTACACGTACCTACTACGAATCTTGGATAAAACAGCAGATTTAAAAAAAATTAATTATTCAATATAAGCTTAAATTTTAATGGCCAGATTAAAAGTCCACGATCTTCTAAATTAAAAAAAAAAACATTCGTTTTATCCACTGTTGGTGTTTTTAGCTTTTATAACATCTGCGTGGAMGGCTAGAAAATATATAGGTAGTCATTCAACAATTATTTTTATTTTTATTCACTCCTTTGACATAGGAATTTTCAATTTTTAACTCAGATAATATATATTATTGTATATTGGTAGTATAGTTAAGTACATCGCCATCAGTAAAAAATAAAGATAAGGAAATCGTGGAAAATCACATCCCTATATATAGTCAGCCAGTATATATATACAGCCAGCTCACATTATATACTGTAGAACACCGTACTGAGTTTATTACTTAAAAAAAAATAATGAACAAATTATTTAAGTGATTTTGAGATGAAAATAATATATGAGTCGAGAGTAATTTTATTATATATCATACAGATTATTTCATTGTGAGAGGAGAATACGTAATTTGTAAAACTGCCTAAACATGTTTTATGGAATGTGTGTATAATTATTGATTGTAATATTTCGTTATTTGAAATGGTATTTTAAAGAATTGAAAAAACATTTTTTTAACTTCTGAGTGGATGAATAACAGTGAACTATTGTTTTATGTTGAGAAACACCAACACATTAATATTTTTTTGTTTTAAAATAAAAAAAAAAATGTATAACAATGACTTTAATATTATGTGTTCGTTGTGCAGAATATGAATATCAAAATACTAGTTTTAAATACACATTGTTTATATTGAAGAGAACGAAAGTTTTCATTTTCTGTGACGAAACTTCATTAATTTATTATGTGTATATATTTATATAAATGTGTGTAAATGTTCCATGGATCTATTTTATTATTGCTTTGTTGGGATAGGACGCCGTTCGTCATAATTGTTATCTTAGTCTTTCAGGCATAAAATGCAGTGAAATTATACTCAACTACGGTATCAAAACAAAAGGCTTTAGACTGATGTTACAGCGTATTGATCTGCTGCATATACCATCATATACAATTGAAAGGGAGAAACACTTTATGTGTTGATTTTGTAGAATTCCATTTTGCGTTTTAAAAATTTAAAACGAATGTAAAATGAATCAAACTTTAAAATAATATAAATATAAAAAAATCCAAGTATTCGTGTTTTTTAATAAAATGCAAGTAAGAATGGAAATCGTAAAACTTCAAGAATGTAATATTTTAGAATTATAAATTCAACAAATAAAAGGTTTAGACTCTAATAAAAAAGAACAATACTATAATAATATTGTAAAATTRTCAGTGGTGGACTTTACGGGTTCGAGATAAATAAATAATTTTTCCTTTATAATTTATAAGTAATACCTTTTTTTTATTTTTATTAGAATACCTATTATAATATTGTAATATATGATTAATACTATGAAGATGATAATAATATAAATTAATACATATGATCAAGTGTTTAACTATCCATTTATCTTAACTGTAAAATTAAAACCTATTTAAAACAATTTAAATAAAAGGCTTAGGTAAAAAGCGTATGTAATATTTATACGGTTATATAAAACAGTTGATTAGTTTACATAAATAAATTGTACAATGACCACCAAATATAATTTTAAGMACTAGGATGAAAAATAAAAATAAAGTTAAAGATTAGAATTTTATGCTTTGAATAGTTTAATGTTGTGCACTTGAAATAAATATGTAGATTATAGTGTCTATGACTATATGTAAAAAATAAACGTAAACCAAATGCGTAAAAATGATAAAAACTCGAGAATAACAAAATTAATTTTTATATAAGATTCTTATATCGTTTACATTTGCAAAAAAAAAAAAATATAGCAGTAATTACTATAATCGTATAAATTGAGAAAAAACTGCGTATCTATAAACACCATCAGCATCCTATTTACTAATGATCGTTTATTTACCATCACCATAGCACTTGGCTTGCCGCCAAATATCGAATTCTAAATAAAAATGATGACCAACTAATATGACAACAAATATGACCAACTAACCCCTAGACGCTAGAGCAATCTTACAAATGCTACAGACGCGTTCCAAATGACCTGGCATTATCACGACTGAAAATAAATCGTATAGATTCGTCTGATCTATAATATTCAATCCTACCACAGTAACACCCAATAATAATATGTTATACTTATAAAATAATATTTGAATATAATATAACCCATATTATTATTTATTATAATATAATCGTATGCATTAACATCAAATTATTATGCAAAAAAAAAAGAAAATTTTAAAATTTAAAATACATTATATAACCTCCTTCTGTTAGAAAACATATTTTGACTTCTACATAACTCATATAATTCTAAAACCTAACCTAACCTTTATAGATAAATATATAAAACAAACAAGAAGTTTTATTAGAAAAGAAAACCGGAAATCCCATGCCCTTTACTAATAACAGTAATAACTAATGAGTKTAGTATATCAAAACAACTACATTATATTATTATGGTATAGCTGTAATAGCCTATTATAAGTATGTATTACAAGTTTTGCGATTTGTTTTTATGAAAATTTCACTAAATGTTATTTGTTGTTGCGTTAATAAATGAATAAATTTAATAGGTAGATACATTTTTATAAAATATGCACTAACTCATTTTTCACTTCATAAATACCTACATTTCATTAACTAAGTACATATACTTCCTTTGAAATCAATTTTTTAGTCTATTGAGAAGGTTTTTGGAGTGAGTCGTCGTCATTACGAAGGACCTATATTATTTTTCAATCCATCAATAATATGTGTTTAATGAATAAGTCGAGCTCGATAACTTGAATATCATGTCTTACACTCATACCTACTAAATAATTATTGAACATATTTTWTTTTATTTATTTAAGTAAATTTACTAAAATAACTAAAATAAATAGGTCTTAAGATTACAGATATTATCCAGGAAAAATCTATAGCGAAATTACAATATAATAATAATAATGTATTAAAATATACTAAATACTTAAATACTTAATATACCCTAACCACCTTCAGTTTATTGAGGTTTTTATGCTACTTAAGGAATTTTTTTTTATCAARATACAAAATATATAGGTACAAACTTCTGTTTCTCAAATGAGAACACCTTTTCTAAATTATACTATAAATTATTATTTACTGTGGATAATTTTTCCGAAAATGTTGACGTATCAAAATCAAAATTCATAGAGTAATTTTCGAGTTAATTAATTGTGTGTATTATTTAATAAATTAATTCTGAAAATATGGGGGCTATTGAATGGTTATTCGAACATTATTTATTGATAAATATTAATCTATCAACATTAACAAATAATAATTTGAAAAAATGAAGCAAGTTTAATAAATATTTACTAGATCCAATATTACATTTATTTTCTTTTTTTTTAAACTATTTTAACTACGATATAATATATATTAACCTTAGTATAAATATTTTAATGATTGAGAAACTTGGTGTTAGATAAAGGATTTTGAATTTGTGCCAAATAATTTAAGACAAATGAAAATAGCATCATTTTTAATYTACTTCAGAAAACTGGGATAGTTTATTACATTTATTACGGATTTTTCAAAGTTCGAGGAAACGGATATAATTCTAATAGATAATTTGCTTTTAGATAATAATAATAATTATTATTATTATACGTTTTCACTTGTCGATAAGAGACAATGACTTGTAGTTCATAATCCGGAACATATCATTAATATCATAACAATAGGTATATCATGACAATAATACATGATCAAATAAAGCGCGATGGATTTGTATCAAGTTTAATATCATTAACGCTTAGATGAATTTATTGGCCACATTGATGAATTGCGGGTAATAAATTTACTCGACGTGATGAACAGACGCGACCTCGCTCGTGCATATATTATCGCAAAAAGCCAAAAAAGGCTGCAAAGATCTCACTTCCGTAGTATGCTCTTATATCTTCGATCGATTT